TTTAAAATGTGCATTTCATCATATCACACTGTAATCAAGGTGTGACAATAATGTCATGTCATGCCACCCAGTCCTTTGGCTCTACCCCAAGGTATTGCATGAAACCACTTAATTACTCTCAGGTAATATGTGTGGGTGTACACATGCACATATAGATTTTGTTCCTTTACATCTTTGAATCACATTATATATGAAGTTCTCTATACTGCTGATGAAGCTGCTTCACTGTCTGGGGTAAATACTCAGGGTTTGTTGTCTCGCACCAAGAAGATTAAAGACATGGCACTCTCAAAGTGTGAGTTTAGGAGCAGAGGTTTAATAGGCAAAAGAAAGAGAAAGGACAGCAGCTCACTCTCTCTTATGAGACAGAGGGGCATCTGAAACAGAAAAGCTGGCCTGCGGTGGACTGCAGCAGATTTTAGAGGTAGGCTTGAGGAGGTGGTGTTTGATTTATGTAGGTCACGTGGATTGGTTTGACCAGGTGTGACATTTATATAGCATGTGGAGAAGGCTGGCCATCCCACCCTAATCTTATTATACAAATGGGCTTTCCACTGGGCCAGCGCCATCTTGTCTGCTCCTTATTGTACACGTGGCTGGCAAAGAGAAGGGAAGATGGAGCCGCCATTTTGATCATGCTTAGTCCCAGTAGCCTTTTCCTATTGGCACAACTTCCGTCATTCACCCATGCAAGCTTCCAGCTTGCTTGTCTATGTCTGCAGAGGGATTTTACAGGCTACGCTTTGTTAGAGAAGAAAATGAGGTTGGGGCTGCTTATCATGAAAAGGAAAACATTACTGAGGACTTCCTTACCTTCACTATCTGCGTAAATAATTTTTTTAACTCCTATTTCACTTATTCCATATAACTTTGCATTGCGAGCATGTCCCACATTATAAAAATTCCTGCAAAATATAGTATTAAATGGAGATCTATATCTTTTTTTGTTTGTTTTTGTTAGTGGAGAATGATATCACTCTGTCTTATGGCTCTGCCACAGCTTATTTAACTAATCCCCTAATGGTTGATACTTAGGTTATCTCCAGTTCTTGTCAATACAAATAATGCTGTGTATAAACTACCTTGGCCTATCTTCTACTTTCTCTTCTCTCAAAACCAAAGGTCTTCTAGCATAAGCGCCGTCCCTGGAGTTCCCAGTGCATTAAAGGTTGGAGAGAAGAAAAACTTGAACTGGCCTGGAAAGGACCTTACCTGGTGCTTCTAACCACTGAAACCACAATCCAGACAGCAAGATGGACCCATCACACCTAAGTCAAGAAAGCACCGCCACCTCCACAGTCACGGGCCATTACCCCGAGGAACCCCCCCCAAAAACTAAAGTTAGGAAAAGTTTAACTCTCTTTTATCTATTCTATTACTCTTTTTTCTTTTCTCATTCTATTGCTGGCCAACCTGTCAATATAACTAGGTCAGACTCACCCGCAATCATTATCTTTGATGTTTGCCTTGTTATATACCTTATGAAGACTTACAATGGCAAAGACAAATCTCTACTTTAGAAAAATACCTCTGCCTCTCCAGAGAAGCCATTAACCTTGCACCCTTGCTCACGGCGGACACCCCAAGTTGGGAGTTACGTTCTCAATGAGCAGATGTCATCTGCACTACCAGAGACCAGGGCTGGACCCCCCCAGAGGGCTCTACTGGCCTGAAATCTTACTCCACTTTACTAATGGAACCACACCCTCTAACTGTCAGTCTCACCATTGTAACCCAGTAATCATTTCCATTAAAACTCCTACCTCCACCAACCCTGCACCCCTTTAGAGCACTTTTACAGCTTAGGACTAGAGGCCAATAGTGACAACCCTATAGGCTTCTTTGAAATGCGTTTTATTGCCCCCCTTCTCCCTCTCCGTCTAAACCTTCTACCCTGCCCCATGACAATGCCAAAGTAAATATTGTAAAAATAAATAATTTAAGACAAACTCCAACGGTTAAAACAAAATATCCAGATACAAATGCCTGGTTAAAATGGATCAAATATTCCATCTGCAGGTTAAACAAAAGCAACCGTTATGCTGTGCACACGGTCAGCCAGAGGCCCAAATTGTCCGCTTTCCACTCAAATGGTCCTCCAGTCGACCAGGCATGGGTTACATGGTAGCTCTCTTCCAAGATTCTACAGCTTAGGGCAATAAGTCATGCCAAGCTCTCTCTCTGCTCTATCCCAAAGTCCAACACTCTGAGGGTCCACCCCCGAGGGCCACCCAGCTTCCGTCTCCCAAAGTCAATTTCACCTCGTGTCTCTCATAACAAAGGAAAAACTTAACGTTCCTTGGAAACTTAACAGGATGCAGTGAGCTTAGGCCATTCCAGAAACTTCCCCATCAGTCCACCCTTAGCCATCCTTGAGCCGATGTAAGGTGATATTGTGGTGAACTCTTACCGGACACTCTGCCAAGTAACTGGAGTGGCATTTGTGCTCTTGTCAATTGGCTATCCCTTTCACCCTGGCATTTCATCAACCAGAGGGAGAAAACAAACACAATATTGTAAAATAAGAGAAGCCCCTTATGGATCTTATAACTCCCAAGTTTATTTAAACACAATTGGAGTCCCATGGGGGTGTAACCTAATAAATTCAAAGCCTGGGACCAAATAGCTACAGGATTTAAATGAATATTTCCATAGGTAACTATTTTTTTTTTTTTTTTTTTTTTTTTTTTTTTTTTTTTTTTTTTTTTTTTTTTTTTTTTTTTTTTTTTAGACAGAGTTTCGCTCTTGTTACCCAGGCTGGAGTGCAATGGCGCGATCTCGGCTCACCGCAACCTCCGTCTCCTGGGTTCAGGCAATTCTCCTGCCTCAGCCTCCTGAGTAGCTGGGATTACAGGCATGCGCCACCATGCCCAGCTAATTTTTTTTTTTTGGTATTTTTAGTAGAGACGGGGTTTCACCATGTTGACCAGGATGGTCTCGATCTCTTGACCTCGTGATCCACCCGCCTCGGCCTCCCAAAGTGCTGGGATTACAGGCTTGAGCCACCGTGCCCGGCCTCATAGGTAACTATTAATAAAAGTGTAAACTAAATAAATTACATCTATTATAATCAACAGCAGTTTGTTAATTACACCAGAAATGCTATCAAAGAAATAGCTGACCAATTAGGGCTTACTAGCCAAATCGCTTAGAAAAGCAAAACAGCCCTCAATATAATATTAGTAAAAAAAGGTGAAGTTTATGTTATAATTAAAACTCAATGTTGTGGCCAGGCACAGTGGCTCACGTCTGTAATCCCAGCACCTTGGGAGGTCGAGGCAGGTGGTCATGAGGTTAGGAGTTCAAGGCCAGTCTGGCCAAGATGGTGAAACTCTGTCTCTACTAAAAATACAAAATTAGCCTGGTGTGGTGGTGGGCGCCTGTAATCCCAGTTACTTGGGAGGCTGAGGCAGAGAATTGCTTGAACCTGGGAGGTGGAGGTTGCAGTGAGCCAAGATCACTCCATTGCACTCCAGCCTGGGCGATAGAGTGAGACTCTGTCTCAAAAAAAAAAAAAAAAAAACCCAAAAAGCAAAAAATTCAATGTTGTACCTTCATCCCAAACAATACTGCCCCCAATGGAAACATAACAAAGGCCTTACAGGGACTTACCGCTTTATCCGATAAATTGACTAAATATTCTAAAATCAATGACACATTTTCAAAATGACTAAAAAGGTGGTTTGGTAAATAAAAAGAAATCATAGCCTCAATTCATACTTCTCTTGCAGACACAATAGGTATACTCATTCTTGTTGGGTGTTGTGTCATATCATATATCCGTGGTCTAATACAAAAACTTATAAAAACAGCACTTACTGAAATTTCCCTTAGCTCTCCACCCTATTCAAGTAAGCGTTTCCTTTTAAAGGATCAAGTCAAACAGCAAAGCCAAAACTTTTAAAAAGATTTTTTAAAAAGAAAGATTATTAAAAAATTAAAAGGGCAGAGTTGCAAGATACAGTGAATTATTTCTCTTCAAAGGTTCAGCCTGTTAACTCCCTTGTTCTTTTTTCTTAAACTCAACTTTCTTGTTCTCCATGCCTCCTTGCCTCTAGTTACTGTAAACAGCATGCCTGCCAGCTCTAATCAATAACCCACATCTGTTGCCTTGGTTAACCACTCTGCACCTATTCCATGCTTCGAAACTGCATGTTCCACCATCGTGACTCACACATCCCTCTTCCCTTCCTTATTTGGGAAAATATTCACCAATAGTCAGCTGGGTCAGTTTAGATTGTGTGGTCTGACCCCAGCCCATAGGAAAGTAGCGCAAAGGTAGGGACCTTGCATTAAAAGTAACAAACCCTTCCCCACCCTTGTCCAGGTGTGCTCTCACCATTGTTCCATCCGTATGATGCACCTTTCTATAGAAGTAATTGCCTTACTGGGAAAACTTTTGCTGAAGTGCTGGTTTCACTCTGAGGCACCAAGCATTTTACTTCTAACACCTGTAATCCCAGCTACTGTGAGGCTGAGGCAGGAGAATTGCTTGAACCCATGAGGTGAAGGTTGTGGTGAGCCAAGATTGCACCACTCCAACCTGGGCAACAAGAGTGAAACTCCATTCCAAAAATAAAAAAGAAAGAAAAGAAAAAGAAAATAGCAGTGTTGGCCAGGCATGGTGGCTCATGCCTATAATCCCAGCACTTTGGGAGGACAAGGCAGGCCGACCACCTGAGGTCAGGAGTTCAAGACCAGCCTGGCCAACATGGTGAAACCCCATCTCTACTAAAAATACAAAAAAAATTAGCCAGGCATGGTGGCACACGCCTGTAATCCCAGCTACTTGGAAGACAGACGGGAGAATGGCTTGAAACTGCTGGGGCGGAGGTTGCGGTGAGCTGAGAACATGACATTGTACTTCAGCCTGGGCAACAAGAGCAAAACTCCATCTCAGAAAAAAAAAAAAAAGACAAAGAAAATTGCAGTGTCACAGTGAATAAGCAGGCTAGTGGTAACAGGAAAAAGGAGGGGCACTATAACTGATATGGTAATTGGAGGAATTGGAATGGGTTTATAACTCTCCCTTGAGAAGAAACACAGCATTTCAGCTGCTGTCACTCCTTCAAGGAAAGTTCTTCTACTCCACCAACCCCCTCTTTTCTCAGTAACATGGCCAGCAAGGAAGTCATTACAGTGTTTGGAGCAACAGGTAAAAACGTCTTTAATTTTTAGGGCATGCTTACTTTGCTCACTCTCCTGTCTTCTTGTTTTTAACTTCAGAGCCTGCAAGTGTGGGCGCAACAAAGAGCCTTTTGGAAGAAAATTTTTAAAGTATCTTATTGCTTTAGTTTTTGATGTGGTAAAGGGGCAGCATGATTTAACTTGATTTATAACTTGATCTCAGCAGGACAAGGACACCGACATAATCTCCCTTTCCCAATCATGGGGCTCACTTGTTGGTATAAGTTTCATTTCCACATAACCTATACTCCGAAGTCTTTTCTCCACTTCCTAATAAGCAAAAGGTACGCGTGTGAGAGGCCTGTGGGTTTGTAGTGAGTCTCCAAGGCCTGACCAATCTTCCAGGGCTTCTGCAAGGTTGGAGTGTGTGGGGAGGTTGCATTCCTGTCTCCCTTACACTTTGATCCTCAACGGTCAGAGCCATCTTTGTGAAATGTAAATCAAACCAGGTGATTCTCCTTCAATCTATTCTCATTTCAGCCTTTCAAGGATTCACTGGAAACTGTCAGATCATGTCACACCTCTGCTCAAAACCTTCTGAAAACTCCCAGACCCCTGGCGCTCCAAGTAAAATGCAAAGTCCTGCTACTGCCCTGCCACAGGGCCTTGGGAATACCTTGTCAGACCTCTCTTCCTGCCACTTTCCTCATTCCACTTCCTTACCCTGGCTTTCTTGCTGTTCCTCCAAAACGCTCCCACCCCAAAGTCTTTGTATTGGGTGCTTCTTTAACCTAGAATGGTCTCCGTCAGTTTCTGATACGGTTTGGCTGTGTCCCCACCCAAATTTAATGCTGAATTGTAGTTCCCATAACCCCCACATGTTATAAGAGTGACCAGGTGGAGAGAGTTGAATGTTGGGGGCGGTTTTCCCCATCCTGTTCTCGTACTAGTGAAATGGGAGAGTTCCCTGGCCCCCTGCCACATGATGTGCAACAGGGGTGTGACTCTGTTCTGCCACTGCAAGCAAGCTCAAACCCTTTAAGGGAGGGGGAGCATGCAAACAGGCAGGAGCAGGAACTGGGGCAAGTGCTTTTGGGCTCTGGTCCCATGGCAGCATCAAGGGTTGAGTGTCTGTAACTTCCAAAGTGCAAGTGTGCGTGTGTTACAGTGTGTTCTTTTAGCCTTGCCATCTGCACATGGCTTAAGGGTTAACCAGCTCAGTGAACCCTCTGCCTCTTTGCAGAAGAAGGGGGCTAGTGTGACATCTTTCTGTATCCCAAGCTCTCACCCAGCGTCCCAGAAGAATTGGGCCACACAGGAAGGATGCATGCAGGGGTTTTTGAGTGGTGAGTGGTGGCTCTCAGTGGGATGGATGGGGAACTAGACAGGGGATGGAGTAGTAATATGATCTTCACCTGGAGTCCGGCTGTCCGGTGGCCGATTCTCTGAACATCCCCAGCCAACTTCTCCTGATGTTCCTTCTGTTCTCTCCTCCGCCATGCCACTCTGCTGTCTGTTCGTCTCCTCATCTCCTCGTCTGCTTCTGGAGTCTGGGATTCAGGGTTTATATGGGTACGGACAGGGGGCATGGCATGCCAAAGGCAGCTTTTCGGGTGCAAAAACAGGAATGCCTATTCTTACTTAGGGCAGCGAGTATCCAGGCTTGAGGGTAGAGCCTTTGCCAGAAACCCTCTTCTACCCAGTATTTCTCTGTCTTGTGTTTGTATCAATAGTGAGATAGTTCTCATGAGATCTGGTGGTTTTACAAGGGGCTTCCACCTTCACTGGACACACTTGACTTTCCTTTCTCAATCCTCCCTGTTCATCATCACCACATCTGATTAATCAACAAAATCCTGTTGATATCATCTTTTCAAGGAACACTGCGAAAGACTTTGAAATGGGAAAAGAAGATTGCTGGGTATCCTTGCCCAGGGCACCATTCTCGTTTTTTGTGAGCCTTTCCTTGTTTTAAAGATAGTTATAACTCCATACATTGTGGCAAATAGATAATAATGCAACTGATTCTTATCCATAGAAATGCAAATGAATTGTGTCTGGTGGACCACAGTTGATGATTGCCCAGTGGATATTGACTGGTTTTGTCCCTAATTGTACATTCATTGTAGCATTTTGGCATTTCTGATTGCCTACATATGTGTGTGTTATTTGAATTTTTCTTTCTTTTTTTTTTTTTTTGAGACGGAGTTTCGCTCTTGTTACCCAGGCTGGAGTGCAATGGCGCGATCTCGGCTCACCGCAACCTCCGCCTCCTGGGTTCAGGCAATTCTCCTGCCTCAGCCTCCCGAGTAGCCGGGATTACAGGCACGCGCCACCATGCCCAGCTAATTTTTTGTAGTTTTAGTAGAGACGGGGTTTCACCGTGTTGACCAGGATGGTCTCGATCTCTTGACCTCGTGATCCACCCGCCTCGGCCTCCCAAAGTGCTGGGATTACAGGCGTGAGCCACCGCACTCGGCCGAATTTTTCTTATAACATTGTACTGGTTCCCTCATTAATAAGTTAAAGAAAAAATTTTGACACATTCTTTTTTGTTTTTTTAGATGGAGCCTTACTCTGTTGCCTAGCCTAGAGTGCAGTGGTGTGATCTCAGCTCTCTGCAACCCCCTTCTCCCACATTCAAGTGATTCTCCCACCTCAGCCTCCCTAGCTGGGATTATAGGCACACACCACCATGTCTGGCTAATTTTTGTATTTTTAGAAGAAACTGGGTTTTACCATGTTGGCCAGGTTGGTCTTGAATTCCTGATCTCAAGCGATCCTCCTGCCTTGGCCTCCCAAAGTGCTGAGATTACAGGTGTGAGTCACTGCGCCCAGCAGACACATTCATTTTATGTGTCTATAAATTATAATTTTACCTTTTAAAAATATATCCTTTAATGTTCTGAGTTTTTTTTTTTAATTATACTTTAAGTTCTGGGGTACATGTGCAGAACGTGCAGGCTTGTTACATAGGTATACACATGCATGGTGGTTTGCTGCACCCATCACTCCGTCATCTACATTAGGTATTTCTCCAAATGCTATCCCTCCCCTAGACCCCCGCCCCCTGACAGGCCCCGGTGTGTGATGTTCCCTCCCTGTGTCCATGTGCTCTCATTGTTCAACTCCCACGTATGAGTGAGGACATGTAGTGTTCGGTTTTCTGAGTATATCTTACATTTTCATACTTCTCTCCACCCGAATAAACCCTTCTAGCTTATCATACTTCTAGCAAGGTCATTATCACCTTCACCTAGATTATTTTAAAGCTCACTAATTGTACCCTTGCCCATGGTCTCTTTATCCTATTCCATGATCTCCATAACCATTTCTTCAGCATGTGATTCTGAACAACATACCACTCAACTTCATAAAATCTCCTGCGCCCAGAACAAGCGCAGCCCTCTAGGCCTATTTTGCTTCTCTAGCCCCATGTTTGACATTGACCCGAAGTTCACCAGTCAGATTCATTTCAGTTCTCTGAATTCACTGCCTTCTTGCTCACCTCTGGATAAAGCACTTGCAATCCACTTTGCATGCAACGCACTCCACATGCCTCTCTTCTCCCAATTCCTGCCCATTCGTCAGGGCTCACCTCTGTTACCACTTCCTCCCTCTAGTCTGGGTTAGATGCTCCACTTGTGTTCTCCTCTGGAGCCTGCATTCCCTCAGCCCCTTCCCCCCTCCTCTAAGAGCACATATCACGCTGTATTATAATTGCTCTTTAATGAGCTCCCCTGCTAGTCTGCAAGCTCTGTGTAGGCAGGTGCCATGTTCAGTTTGAATCCTGAAATCCTTACTTAACCACCATATGATCTGGAGTAAGTCCTTGAACTCTTTAGGCCATAATCCAATATATAAATTATATCTTATATCCAACATGTTCAAGCCCGTATTGTTTACCACTACATCCCTAGGGCATAGCACAGCATGTAAAAGTCATTCAAAAACATGGTCCCAGGGCAATAATAGAAACTTCCCTACAAGAATCCTTCTCAAGGACCATGACCCACCCCCCTCCTCCAGCACCCCACAACCCCCTGCCAAAAGCACAAATTACACTCAAATAGAAGGTACTTCAGTATGTTTAGGTTTTTTTTTTTTTTTTTTTTGAGACAGAGTTTCGCTCTTGTTACCCAGGCTGGAGTGCAATGGCGCGATCTCGCCTCACCACAACCTCCGCCTCCTGGGTTCAGGCAATTCTCCTGCCTCAGCCTCCTGAGTAGCTGGGATTACAGGCACGCGCCACCATGCCCAGCTGATTTTTTTGTAGTTTTAGTAGAGACGGGGTTTCACCATGTTGACCAGGATGGTCTCGATCTCTTGACCTCGTGATCCACCTGCCTCGGCCTCCCAAAGTGCTGGGATTACAGGCGTGAGCCACTGCGCCCGGCCGGTGTTTAGGTTTAATAGGGAAAAATGTTCAACCCACCTGCATTTTATCTATCTATCTATCTATCTATGTATCTATCTATCATGAGAGAAAGCCCAGGAACCTCTTCTGTCAAACTGTCTAAATAACCACAATATCAGATCTATAACCAGGTAAAAGTAGAATAATTGCTCCTGTTGAATCTGGAGGACTGCGGGCATCCCTGATTTTGACACCCTGCTCACTTGCCCTTCTTGTTGCTTCAAGCCTCTCCCACTCCTCTCTTCCCATGCCCTCTGCAAAAATGCCTCTGAAGAAGCCACAAAGAACTTAGTTTGAAAGCCACGCGGATATGTGAAGTGCCATGCAGCACCCGCTGAAGGAACCACTGCAGCAGCTCTGCTCTGCGTCGTGGGATTTCTGATCAGCTTCTTTCAGTGAACATTCTTTCTCTTCCTTCCCGTGTTTCTTCTTTCCTTGACCCCGCAGGAGCTCAAGGTGGCTCTGTGGCCAGGGCAATTTTGGAGAGCAAAAAATTTGCCGTGAGAGCAGTGACCAGGGATGTGACTAAGCCAAATGCCCGGGCGCTCCGGGACCTTGGAGCTGAGGTGGTAAAAGGTGACCTGGATGATAAAGCATCCGTGGATGATGCCTTAAAAGGTGCCTATGGGGCCTTCTTGGTGACCAACTTCTGGGAAACTTTCAACAAAGATAAGGAAGTACAACAGGTAGAAACCAATTTGCTTCTTTTTTCCCTTTGAGCCCTTTCCTCTTACCCTCCCCAGCTGCTGCTTTCCTTCCCAGAAGGGGACAGGCCTTCAATCGGGGCAAATATATGTCTTACATCCTTTCGGCATCTATGAAAAACATGTACTTTAAGTACTTGTTAAAGGTATCTTTTTAAGACCTTGAATATTCTAGAATGATCGTTTAATGAAGCTAGGCATTAGGTCTTCCACTTCTCACCATTTGTTTGTAGATGGCATGGGGGGTGGTAGCAAGGGTACCCCCAAATTTGAGGTTCGTCTGAGAGTGAAATGGAGAGAATAAAGATGTAATGAGTACATTTACACTTCAGATAGATAATTTGGGACTGGGTACACAGAAACAAATCAACAAGCAAATAAACCCACAATAAATTAAATGCAGGGAAAATGAAAGTTTGTAGAAAAAGTAAACGTAACCATAGAGTAGCACATGACTCAGCTTCAGCTGTGTGCAGGCACTGAATATTGATCTAGCCAAAAACAATGATTGGGCGAATTCAAAAGGGAATTGTGTGTATGTGTAGTGGTGGTGGACGACGTGAGCAAGTAAGAGAGCTGAGTGCACAAGTGAGCGAGAGAGAGATCATTAAATCCTCATCTTTCATAGTAGGAATTTAGCAGATGATATTTCAAACTGAAAAAATTGAGAATCAATTGTATAAACATGTTTACAAAAATAAATAGCTAAATGAAACTGAAGTGTTACTTCTGGAGAACGGTAATCAGCATAGGGGCACAGGGAACTTATTTTATTTTATTTGTTTTATTTTTTTAAGAGACGGGGTCTCACTATGTTGCCCATGCTGGTCCTGAACTCCTGGGCTCATGTGATCCTCCCACCTCGGCCTCTTGGGGATTCTTTTTTTTTTTTTTTTTTTTGAAACAGAGTTTCACTCTTGTTGCCGAGGCTGCAGTTCGGTGCAATGGTGCGATCAAGGCTCACTGCAACCTCTGCCTCCTGGATTCAAGCGATTCTCCTGCTTCAGCCTCCCAAGTAGCTGGGATTACAGGCATGCACCACCATGCCTGGCTAATTTTGTGTTTTTAGTAGAGACAGCGTTTCTCCATGTTAGTCAGGCTGGTCTCAAACTCCCAACCTTAGGTGATCTGTCCACCTCGGCTTCCCAAAGTGCTGGGATTACAGGCATGAGCCACTGCACCCAGCGGGAATCTCTTTTTCATTGTAAGATTCACTCCCTCCCAATCCATGACAGTGCTATTTGAAAATTTAAACTATGCATATGTATAAATTTGGGAATAAATGAAGATTCGATTTTAAAAATGTAATGGATGCTTTTAGCCACTTAATAAATGGCACAATTCAAAAAGTTGAAAGCAGGATCAAACTGTCGCAGGAATGTCTCTTGAATTAATTATACCATTCATAGCCCATGTTTTCGTGATAGACTCTGGAGGGTCTATTTTAGGAGACCTGAATTCTAATTCCGATATTCACTTACTAGGAAACAGGGGTGCAAGGCACCTCTCTGCTGCTAACTCAGGTTAATTATGTTTTCTCTGCCTGCTGCACGAGGTTTTTTTAAGGAAAAGTAAGAAAGAAACAGCAAAAAGAAAGGAAAAAAGAAGAGACAGACGAAAGTGCTTTGGAAAATTTGGATCTAAAAACAGACACAAAAAGAGAATATATATACTTGTATATTTGTGTGTGTGTGTGTGTGTGTATGCCTCCATTATGACTTCAATGTCCAAATGGTGTGTAGATACAGTCCATTACTAGACACAGTTATAGAAAATAGATAAATCCACTCACAGTTGAACACAAAGACAGTGAGACCCCGGAGGAAAAGGCCGTCTCTTCCTGGCCAGTCCCACCAGGTTGCTTCTTAGCTTCAGGAGGTACCTGGGGTTCCTTTCTCCTCTGCCCCTTCCCTAATTCTACTACTCCCCCACCTCAGGTGTCCCACTTACAACCCCCATGGGAGCAGGCTGAGGGCTTGGGCATTTTGGAGTGGATCCTCTACTCACCAGTGCTGGTGTGGTGGCCTCTCATAAGATAAACTGAATATATTTTGAGACTGGGAGAGCTTCCTCTCCACAGGGATGAGGGTAATAAGAAAATGGGAGGGTGGGCCCAGCGCCCTGGCTCATGTTTGTAATCCCAACACTTTTGGAGTCCTTGGCGGGCAGAAGACTTGAGATCAGGAGTTCGAGACCAGCCTGGCCAGCACGGTGAAACCCCATCTCTACTAAAAAATACAAAAAAACTAGCAGGCGAGCACTTGTAACGCCAGCTACTCCAGAGGCTGAGGCAGGGGAATCATTTGAATCCGGGAGGCGGAAGTTGCAGTGAGCAGAGATTGCTAGACTCTGTCTAAAATAAAAAAGGCGGGGAGTGGGGTGGGTGGAGGAGATCCTGCTCTGATTATTTGTCTATATGCAAATGCAAATACAGCGGTCCATGAGGATTTACTTTTGACTCTCAGGGTAAGCTGGTGGCAGACACCGCCAAACGCCTAGGTCTGAAGCACGTGGTGTACAGCGGCCTGGAGAACGTCAAGCGGCTGACTGGTGGCAAGCTGGAGGTGCCACACTTCGATGGCAAGGGTGAGGTGGAGGAGTACTTCTGGTCTCTCGGCATCCCCATGACCAGTGTCCGCGTGGCGGCCTACTTTGAAAACTTTCTCACGGCATGGAAGCCCGGGAAAGCCTCTGATGGAGATCACTACACCCTGGGTAAAACGAAGCAAAAGCTCACCAGACACTGGTTGCCCCCCTCTCCACTCACTGCCCACCCGCTCTCCCTTCTTGCCCCTTTGCGGTGGACACCCATCATCTGAGTGCCTTCTGTGGGTTTAGTGCTGTGTGAAGTGCTGAGAGGGATGCCACTCTGGGCGATTACACTAAGCTGCTCTTCCAGGGCAGAGAACTAGATCTGGGATCAGAAGCACAAAGGGCTGCATTTCCAATCTTAATATACTGACCCTCCTTAATGTAAGTACTGGAGTTAGCTACGTGACCTCCAGCCTCCGTTTCCTCAGGTTATTTTTATTTTTATTATTTGAGATGGAGTCTCACTCTGTTACACAGGCTGGGGTGCAGTGGTGCGATCTTGGCTCACTGCAACCTCCGCAGCCCGGGTCAAGTGATTCTCATGCCTAGCCTCGCGAGTGGCTAGGATTACACATGCTCACCACCACGCCTTGCTAATTTTTGCCTTTTTTAGTCAATATGGGGTTTGACCCTGTTGGCCAGGCTAGTCTCAAACTCCTGAACTCAAGGGATCTAGCTACCTTGGCCTCCCAAAACACTGGGATTACAGGTGTGAGCCACCACGCCTGGCAGTTTCCTCATGTTTGATGGGAAAATGGGACAAGATGACTTCTTTTTTTGAGTCTGGGTTTCTATTGCCCAGAATGGAGTGCAGTTGGAGTATGGTGCGTGAAACGTAAACAAGATGATTGGGTGACGTAAACAAGATGATTGGGTGGATCTCTTTCAGCACTTTCTGACAAGGCAGGTCATGAGCTTTGTGAGTATTTAGGAGAAGAACATTTTAAGAAGAGGAAATAGCCAGCGTGGCTGATATAGAATGAGGGAGGGGAGGGAAGTGGGAGATGAGGTCAGAACTAACAGAAGGTCTCGTTGTATAAGCTTTGTAAGCCACTGGCTTTTCCTCTGAGAGACAGAGAGAGCTATCAGAAGGTTCTGATCAGACAGGACTGGGAGTGGTGGCTCATGCCTATAATCCAGGCACTTTGGAAGGCCATGGCAGGTGAATCACTTGAGGCTAGGAGTTCGAGACCAGCCTGGCCAACATGATGAAACCCTGTCTCCACTAAAGGCACAAAAATTAGCTGGACATGGTGGTGAATGCCTGTAATCCCAGCTACTCGGGAGGCTGAGGCAGCAGAATCACTTGAACCCGGGAGGTGGAGGTTGCAGTGAGCCGGGATTGCACTACTGCACTCCAGCCTAGGCGATACAGCGAGACTCTGTCTCAGAAAAGAGGAAAAAAAAAAAGAAGGTTCTGAGCAGATGCAACATTAGCCTGAGCTGGCATTTTTACAGGATAACTCTGATTTTTATGTTGAAAAGAGACTATGAAAGGGCAAGAGTGGAAACAAGGAAACAAATTTTGCAATAATCCAAGTCACAGATGACGGTGGCTTAGACCGGGGTGGTAGCATTGAAGATGATAGTAAGTGGCCAGACTTTGCACATATCATGCATATGCGTTTCAAAAGAAAAAAATAGGATATGGGATAGGAGAGAAGCATCAAGGCTGACTGTAAGATTTGTGGCCTGAGAAACCAGAATGAGAGGGTTGCCATTAGCTGAAGTGGGAGACCGTATGGAAGCAGGTTGGGGGCGTAGTTCAGTTTGGGGCCTGCTGAGTTTAAGATGTCCACTGAAAATCAAGTAAGGATTTGAGTAAGTAGTAGGACACGTGAGTCTAGAATTCAGCAGAAGTTTTGCCTGGAGATACATTTAATCATACTTTACACACAGAAGATATTTAGTAAATACATGGTTGCTCTTTTATATCAGTATCAAGGTGCTAAAGTAATTTTCCCCCCACCCCCACCCTTTTTTTTTTGAGACATAGTCTTTCTCTGTTGCCCAGGCTGGAGTGCAGTGGCACAATCTTGGCTCACTGCAACCTTGGCCTTCTGGGTTCAAGAGATTCTCCTGCCTCAGCCACCGGAGTAGCTGAGATTACAGGTGTACACCATCACACCCAGCTAATTTTTGTATTTTTAGTAGAGACGGGGTTTCTCCATGTTGGCTAGGTTGGTCTTGAACCCATGACCTCAGGTGATCCACCTGCCTCAGTCTCTCAAAATGCTGGGATTATAGGTGTGAGCCACTGCACCTGGGCTGTAATTTCTCAAATGAAACCTTGTATCTGTATATGGATTGTGGCCACTGGGTTTTACATTGCCTTCCTATACCTTTCATTTAAGTGGTTGATTAATTTGGGTTGGTGGGACCTACCAAGGATGTGATATAATTAACTATTTATCTTTTCCTATTTTTTTTAACTAGCACTACCAATGGGGGATGTACCGATGGACGGTATCTCTGTTACTGATGTTGGACCAGCCGTCTCTAGCGTTTTTAATTCTCCAGAGGAATTTTTAGGCAAGGCTGTGGGCCTCAGTGCAGAAAAACTAACAATACAGCAATACGCTGATGTTCTGTCCAAGGTTTTGGGGAAAGAAGTCCGAGACGCAAAGGTGAGTTCTTAGGGGACATCCACGTGATCACAAGAGGCCACCTTGGTTAACATTCCACTGACTTTACATTCTGGTAGACTTTCTATGGATTTAGGCAGGATTGAAAGACTTTCAGAAGAAATTGAGAAGGACTCTGTTTCCATAAATCTACCTTCATTGATGGGTGCAGTGGAATCTCTCCCATACGGCTTTATTTCTTTGACTTAGGGTTAGTTGTCTTGTAAAAGTAAAATTACTTTTGAGTGGAAAGAATTTAGAAAGTGCAGCCTTTCACATATACCATCCCAGCTCCTCTCATAGGCCCTTACTGCTGACCACTTCAGTCGGCCAGAGCTGGCTGCTGTGGAGCAAGGCACCGAGCTTCACTGAGCCTCAGCTTCCTCCGTTGCCAAGTGGGGAATGGTAGTATCTGCTCCAGGTGTTCTTGTGAAAATTACAGATAATATATTTAAAGGGCTTATCATAGTGATTGGCACATCGCAGAGATGTATGGAGTATCTATTACGAACCCAGGGCTACTTTAAGGATTTTGCAGCAAGGTTGGAGTGAAAATGTTGATGCCCATAAAGCCACCATGATTGTTACATCTTGTAATCATTATAAGACGTGACACTATAGGTGCTTAATTATGGTGTTCAGACTATCTGTGCTCTAGATGATCAGAAAACGGTGGAAAAAGGTTTCATGGAAGACGTGGGCTTGAGCTGGTCCTGGAGGAAACATGACTGTGTGTAGGTCCGGGAGCACCAAGAAGGCTGGCCTGGCTAATTCTAGAATAAACATGACAAACCAGGGGCAGTGTGGGAAGTAGGCAAATTCTAGCTCTGCCCTATCCTTGGTAATTTACTTAACCCCTCCCAGCCTCGGTTTCTTCATATGTTCCAAAAAAGTTGCTATACCCCCTTTGAGTGATCATTGCGAGGATGAAATGAGATCTGTAGAGCAGGTGCTTGGCACTGGGTCTGGCGCTTTGTAAGCCCTCCACAACTGATCATGCTGTAAGTCATGCAGGGATGGCCTCATGTGGGTGGCTGCCTTCTTGGGCTTGGGCGTAAGTTATTTTCTCCAAGAAATTGTGGCTGGCAGACACAGGACAGGCTTTTACAGAAGAGTGAGAACTGGTGATATTGAGCATGACTCAAGCAGGTACTGGTAAGTGGAAGGGAAAGGAAAACAGGCTGTTTTCAGGGTACGATGATCGAGCTGAGGAGTTGCAACAGAGACCTTATGGCCCTCAGAGCCTACAGTATTTACATCTAGCTCTTAAAAACATATGTTCTAGAACGTTTCCTAGAATTGGGGATAGAAGGTTGGTTCTTGTTCGGATAAGCAGCTCTTGGTCCAATGATTCTAGAGGGGATAACTAGATTTCCAACTCAACCTCAGATGCTGAAGTTGTGAGGAGGCAAGATATTCTTTTTTTTTTCCTGAAAACCACTGTAGGAGTCAATCCAGCCACGAAACCACATCTGGTTATCTCCCTGAAGCCACACACACATTTCTTGGAGAGATTAAGTTATTCCTAAACCCAAGGAGGTAACCACCCACTCAAAGATGGGCTCACAAGAGGATCTGCAAAGTCCGTTGTACCTGGGTGCACATTTACTTCTCAGTGACCCCTCTCCCAGGCCATTTGCATTTGGGTCATACATTCATTTTGTCCTGTGGGTTTGAACTCTGTAAGGAAGGAGAGAAAGAGAGAGTGGGTGCAGGGGATGAGTATGTGTATTGATTCTCAGAGGATGCGGCAGACATTGTTCTGAATTGCTGAGAACCTTCCAAGCATCTATTAGTCACATACTTGGTCCCTGACTCTTCTGGGTATACACATTGTTTTATAATGCAGCTGAAGCTTCTCCAGCACCAAAAGCTATAGGGTATCAGAGGCTGGAACGTCTATAAAAGGGTCCGACAATTCTGGGGAAGGGTGCATCTGGCCACAAGGTGGCACTCCAGCCCACACAGTCCGACTTCCTCCCACTGTCTAACCCCCAAAGGAAGATGGTTTTCCCAGAAAGTGAGACACAGCAGAACAGATCTCTGTCCTTCAAAAAGCTGCAGAAAAGATTCCCTTATTCTACTAAAGCATCTTTGGTATCAAAGTTAGGGATGAAAGAGTGACTCGAGGGGACACTTATGGAAGAATTGTCCATGCTTCTCCCACGGACTTCTAGTTCCAAACTCACTTCAAGTTTTCACTGTTTTTCTGATTTCAAAAATAGCAAATGCTTATTGAAGAAAACTCAGAAAATTACAGAAAAGAAGATACAAATCACACACAGTTCAATCTCACAGAGATAGCTACTGTTTTTTTTTCTTTCTTTCTTTTTTGTATTTTTAATAGAGACAGGGTTTCACCATGTTGACCAGGCTGGTCTTGAACTCCTGACTTTAAGTGATTCACCCTCCCAAAGTGCTGAAAAAGAATTTTTTTAAATTACAAACATCCCCAGCGACAAGACAGGTCCCTGTAACTTGCTTTTCTGGTGGGGAGATGGGGAGCTGAGGGAGGCAGGGGCACAGAAGGGCCAGGCCTTGCTACTGACCCACCAGCCAGCCACTCATTTACTGAGCAATGGCTGAGACTGGCAACACGTCCTTCACCCTGGATCCCCCAACACAGCCCCTGCAAAACAGGTCCCTGATTCCCATAGTGGCCTTGCCCCCTGCCCAGGGAGTCCTGAAACTTCTAGTGACAGGTGAGAAGGGGAACGGCCCTGAAAAGACACAGGGGATGAAACAAACCTATACCTCCTTGGTCAGTTTCAAACTCACTGTCCTCCTGCAAAGAACAGGGTCACATCCCGCCATGCCCAGGTCCCCATCCTGCCATAAACCATACCTTCCACACTTTGGAATAAAATCATGTCCAAAGCTGGAAATTCAGGAAAGTCCCTCATTTTATCCCAGCAGCTCTGGGCAAGGGGGGAAAAGATGTCCTTCCCCAAATGTCATCCACCCAAAGGCCCTGTCCAGTTGGGAGTGAGGGGACGGAGGATACAGCTTGATGGCTCCAGAACGGGGGCCAATGGGCAGGATGCGCAGAGACGGGCTGTAGCCGAGGGCGCTGGGCGGGCGCGGGAAGCCACCCTCCACCGTCCTGTCGGACTGGAACAGGTCCCGCTTGGGCCTGTCCCGCACAGGGTCGTGCCCTGCCCTCGGTGGCCGCCTCGTTCTGCTTGGCCTGCAGCCCCCACCAGAACCCCGTGTAATCCTCCGCAAGCAGTAGCTTTCTTTTTCCTCTTCAAGGCCTTTTGTCCTTTTATTCACTGCTGTATCCGAGTGCACACAGTGTGTACTCACTCATTACCTGGAACCCCGGCCGGCCCCCGCCCGAGGCCTCGGCGTCCCCGGCCCGGCTCGCTGTGCCACGCCGGCCCCCGGCTGCTGGGCGGCAGTCTCCTTCCTGCTCACCTTGGGCGCCCAGGTAGCTACTGTTAAGATTTGACAGGTTCTTGTGTCTTTTTCCAGTATATATAAGCGTGTATATATATAATACAACTTAGTAATTGTATTATACAATTATGCAACTTAGTGATTGTATTACATATATACATATATATAAATTTATATATATATGCATATATTAATACAATTACTAAACTGTATTAATATATACGTATATATATTTAATACAATTAAAATAACACTAAATGTACCATTTTGTTTCTGGCCTTTTCAGTTAATGTTATGAACATTTTTCTGTTTTGTTAAACTTCTTCAAAAACGTTATACCACATTATGTTCTGACGGTAGAGGTACCACAATTAATTTTATCATTTCTCTATTGTTGGCCATATTGGTTGTTTTTAATTTTCCCATTGTTAGGAATGCTGTGTGACAACCATTGTTTTACCTAAGTTGTTTGTGTCTGTCACTTTTTTTAAAGGCCACGTAGAATTGCAATGTCAGAGTTTATCTCTGAGGGCTAAAGACAGATTATACTAGATCTGATAGAAATGAGTTTTGCTAATTCAGTAGGGGGAATTATAGATCCAGTTAGTGTTAGAAAGGGTTCAAGGCATTGATTTTATGGAAGATGACAGAAGGCAGCTCAGTTGGTGTGGGATGGGTTCCATTTCTGCCTGGGCCTGGCCTTGGCAAAGGTTGGGGCAATTGGAGGGAAAATACAGACCTCTAACCCAGAAGGGCTGCGAGGATGGATGGGCCGTCAGCCAGGTGAGGAGAGCCTGGTGCCAGCGAGGGTGGATCTTTTTTTTTTTGAGACAGAGTCTCCCTCTGTCGCCCAGGCTGGAGTGCAGGGGCGCAATCTCTGCTCACTGCAACCTCCGCCTCCCGGGTTCAAGTGATTCTCCTGCCTCAGCCTCCCAAGTAGCTGGGATTACAGGCGTGTGCCACCACGCCCAGCTAATTTGTTTGTATTTTGTTTTTAGTAGAAATGGGGTTTCACCATGTTGGCCAGGCTGGTCTCAATCTGACCTTGTGATCGGCCCTTTTTGGCCTATCAGTGTGTTGGGATTACAGGCGTGAGCCACCGCGCCGGCCAAGAGGGGGGATCTTGATGCTGCATGGAGGGCCAGGTGGGTGGTCGGTTTCAGAGGGCTGGTGAGGGAACACCAAGAGGAGGTATAGACAAAAACACTGTGAGGAGCTGTTCACACGAAGGCTGGATCTACAGTACCTTATCCAAAAGGCTTGGGGCCAGAAACAATTCAGCTTTCAGAACCTTTCAGCTTTTAGATAGGTTATTGTCTACATATATTATATAACATCACAAGCAGGGGCTGGAGCAGGAACCTGTAATCAAACACAGCTGTATCTCTGCAGGAAAATATTTGAATGTTTCCACTAAATGGTATAATTAAAGAGCATAAATAGCTTCACATAGTTAGATTAGGTTTGCCACCAAATTAGTTCAAAAAGATCAGTTTGCTGCCAAATGGCTTATGGGGAAAAAAAAAAAGCTTTAGAGTCTCTTGGATTTTGGAGTTAGGCTAAAGAATTGTGGACTTGGTCGGGCACGGTGGCTCACACCTGTAATCCCAGCACTTTGGGAGGCAGAGGCGAGTGGATCACCTGAGGTCAGGAGTTTGAGACCAGCCCAGCCAACATGATGAAACCCCGTCCCTACTAAAAATACAAAAATTAGCCAGGCGTGGTGGCAGGTACCTGTAATCCCAGCTACTTGGGAGGTTGAGGCAGGGAAAATTGCTTGAACCTGGGAGGCAGAGGTTGCAGTGAGCCAAGATCGTGCCGTTCCACTCCAGCCTGGGTGATAGAGCAAGACTCCATCTCAAAAAAAAAAAAAAAAAAAAAAAAAAAAAAAAAAAAAAAAAAAAAAAAAAAAAAAAAAAAAAAAAAAAAAAAAAGAATTATGGACCTGTATCATCATTAAGGTGAATAATGTCATTTCAAACTATTTTAAGTACGGACAATAACATTTTCTGTCTTTTTATTTGTTCTTAAAAGATTACCCCGGAAGCTTATGAGAAGCTGGGATTCCTTTCAGCAAAAGAAGTAGCCAATATGTGTCGTTTCTATCAGATGAAGCCCGACCGAGATGTCAAGCTCACCCACCGACTAAATCCCAAAGTCAAAAGCTTCAGCCAGTTTATGTCAGAGAACCAGGGAGCCTTCAAAGACCTGTAGCAAAGCAGCTGTTCAGATAGGCCTTGGAACCAACCACACAGCCTCCTTCCTCTCTGACCCTTTTCCGCTTCACAGCACATTCACAGCGACAGAACATGTTGGAATGCATTTGTTTGTAACACCAAAGGATTTCCTGCAGTCCTCTCTTCACTAAGAAGCACAGCATTGGTGATGGGACACAATAGTTTGATTCACATTTAACTTGCTAGTTAGTGATCAGGGTGGTACGCCTGTTTGGCAAAATGAGCAGCCTCAAGTTTAAATAACTTTCTGTAGCTCTCTCTCTCCCGGAGAGCCAAGTGCCCTCAAAGGACTCTGGCCTGAGGAACTTGGAGCTTCTCTCCTAACACTAAGGGAAGGACAGATTATACTGGGATTTCTCCTGGGTGAGTGATTTCAACCCCTAGCGCTGAAACTCCCCTGGGCAACTCCAGTTTTCTCAACTGCATCGCAAAATTCCCAGTGAACTTTTAAGTCATTTTAATTTTAAAAAACGAACATCTTTGTAGAGAGTTTTCTGGGGAACATGGTGTTCAATGAACAAGCACAAGCACTGGAAATGCTAGAATTTGGTTTAGCTTCAAGATTGGAAGTTTATTCTCTGAGTCATTCATGAAGTCACTTATTGAGCCATCATTCAAATATTCGTCTATTAATCCCTCTACCCTTCATTTATCCATTCCGCAAACTTTTCCTGAGCACCAGCACTGGTGGCATGTTTGTGGACTTCACTTTATTCCTATGTGTTTTCTTTTATCTTTTTTTGAAACGGAGTTTCACTCTTGTTGCCCAGGCTGGAGTGCAATGGCATGACCTCGGCTCAGCGTCATCCGGGTTCAAGCCATTCTGCCTCAGCCTCCCGAGTAGCTGGGATTATAGGCATGTGCCACCATGCACAGCTAATTTTGTATTTTTAGTAAAGACATGGTTTCTCCATGTTGGCCAGGCTGGTCTCGAACTCAGGTGATCCACCCGCCTCGGCCTCCCAAAGTGTTGGGATTACAGGTGTGAACCACCGCGTATGGCTCCTGTGTGTTTTCTTATCACAGTGGTCCACTCTCCGAAGTCTTCTTCCAGTGTGTGGTTGGGTTTGAGTCATGCCAGGCCCAGTAAGGCCATCTCCCCATGTAGCTCAGGGCAAACTCCAGAGGATCTGCTGGGGGAATGGGTGGGGCAGGAAGCTGGAGGTAGGGCCTGTGAAGGGCAGGAATGTGGAAAGAGAAGGTGGCAGAAGGGCCCCATAGGACCTTTCTATATATCTGGCTTGGCATTTCTATATCGTATTGTAATCCTCTTACTTGCTAGTTTTCTTTCTTACTGTGAGTAACTTACACTCATCTTTAACCCGGTGCCTGCTACCTAATAAGTAATCAATAAATGTTGATTGATTAAATAAGTAAATTGTTAACTGACTCTATTGTTACAAGAAAAGAGTGGCCAGGCACAGTGGCTCACACCTGTAATCCCAGGACTTTGGGGGAGGCTGAAGCGGGTGGATCTCTTGAGCCCAGGATTTTAAGACTAGCCTGGGCAACATGGTGAGATCCTGTCTCTGGAAGAAAAAAAATTAGCCAGGCCACAGTCCTGTGGTCCCAGCTACTTGGGAGGCGGAGGTTGGAGAATCACCTGAGCCTGGGAAGTTGAGGCTGCAGTGAGCTGTGATTATACCACTGCATTCCAGCCTGGGTGACAGAGTAAGAACCTGTCTCTAAATAAGTAAATAAACAGGTGCATTGGTCTTGTGTGTTGAGGGGTGTGGTAAGAACTAGTAACCTATACTTTTTTTTTTTTTTTTTTTTGAGACGGAGTCTGGCTCTGTTGCCAGGCTGGAGTGCAGTGGCGTGATTTCGGCTCACTGCAACCTCTGCCTCCCGGGTTCAAGAGATTCTTCTGCCTCAGCCTCCTGAGTAGCTGGGATTACAGGCACTCACCACCATGCCCGGCTAGTAGCTGATACTTTTTAAGGGTGAGAGATTGTCCAATTCTGGGAAGGGAGGATCCCCCATTATCCCACGTGTGATGATAGAAGCACTTGAGCAAGGGCAGAGATGGTGGTGTCTGTGTGAAAGCCCTTGGCCTGGAATCTCACTCAGGAGAGGGAGGCTTGGTGATGGCAAAAGCCAGCCTTTTTTTGTCTTTTGGAGCTCCAAGGGATAAGTGTTGAATAAATGATGTTGAAATTGTTGCAGATGAATTTTGATTCTGGGGGGAAATACAGATGAAGTGCATTTGAGGACCACTCTCCTATTCAAAGTACCAAGCCCCCAGCAATAAAGTCAGTGAAACTTAAGTGCTCAGCCCTGGGAAGTGGGCCTGGATAAATTTCTAAAAAGGAAAAGAAAAAGAAAAACAAAACCCTTAACTAAAAATAGGTGACTTATTACTCGTCTGGGTGGGCCAGACAGGAAGAATGACTGCTGTTCCTTAAATAAACCACAGGGTCCCCCATGTGGAGAGCGACTACAGGCCCAAAGACCCCCTGGACTTTTTGTGTGTTTTCTGGGATGGCAGGTTGGTTCTTTAAGACTGGGATGGCTGGGCATGGTGGCTCATGCCTGCAGTCACAGCACTTGGGAGGCCAAGGTGGGAGGATCGCTTGACTCCAGGAATTTGAGACTGGCCTGGACAACATAGCCAGACCCTGTCTCTACAAAAAAGTAACAAAATTAGCCAGGCATAGTAGTGTGTGCCTGTAGTCCCAGCTACTTGGGAGGTTGAGGCAGGAGGATCGCCTGAGCCCAGAAGTTTGAGGCTGCAGTGACCTGTGATCACACCACTGCACTCCAGACAGAGTGAGACCTTCCTTGTCTCTTTTTTTATGTTTTATTTTTTGAGACAGGGTCTCACACTGTCACCCAGGCTGGAGTGCAGTGGTGTGATCACAGCTCACTGCAGCCTCAAAGTTCTGGGCTCAAGTGATCCTCCTGCCTCAACTTCCTGAGTAGCTGGGACTACAGGTGCACAGTACCATGTCTGGCTAATTTTTTTTTTTTTTTGTATTTTTGTAGAGATGGTGTCCAGCTATGTTACCCAAATTGGTCTCAAACTTCTGGCTTCAAGCGATCTGCCTGCCTCGGCCTCCCAGTGTTGGGATTACAGGCGTGAGCCACCATGCCTGCTTTTCCCTGTCTCTTAAAAAGAAAGAAAGAGAAGAAAAAAAGACTGAGACAGACCAGGGCTGCATAGCCATGGACCAGCCCCAATTGTTTCTGGAAAGCATGAAAAATCCTTCCAGGATTTAGAACCAAACTTTACAGTGGCTGCTCTGAAATGAGACTGTGCCCTTCAGGGACATCAATCTCACATACCAAAGAAAGGAAAAGAACTTCAAATTAGTCTGAGACATTTCAATACTTGTTGACAGTGGACAAAAGATTCCACCACTATCCTCTCCCACTCTGCCCAGCAGTCTTCAGGCCAAGGGAGGGAACAGACTCCCTCTGCGTTCAGGGTAGAGACGTGAGGACCCAAGAGAGGCACAGAGGGTGGAAATGGGGCTGTACGTCTCAGTGAACAAGAGCGCCCTCTGTTGTCCAGGGGTAGATTAGGGTTGGGGGTGTGGGTGATGGAATGGAAAGGATGGAGATCTCTCTCTGTGATTCTAGAAATGACCGTAGAAACCCAAGCTACAAAGTCAGATAATCCTGGATTTGATTGCCTCTGCCACTGACAAGGTGTGTGAACTTGGTCAAGTTACTTGATTTCTGGGCCTGTTCTCCCCATCCTCAGCGGGACTGCTGGAAGGACTAAAAGATTGAAAGCCCGAGAGGCACTTTGTATAGTCTTTGCCAGGTCGTCAGTGCTCAAGAAACAGCTGTAATTATTCTTGAGCATAATTCCTGCCCTTGCCTCCTTCTTATGCCTCCCCAAGTTCTGAGGTACCCAATGGGCTGTTCCGGGTGTCTCTTGACCTTGGCCTCAGGCACTGCAGGTTCATCAAGCTCCAACCTCCGGCTGCCAGGTGTCCCATCCCTTCCCGTCTCCCTTCTCCCTCCACTAGATGGCAGGATGAGTCCAGCATGAGAAAGGATCGCTCCGGCCTCATCCCAGGTGATTTTTCCAAGGGCTTTTCCGGGGTGAAAAAAGCCAAAGGAGATAGTTAGATGGTGCTTGTTAAAGCCTTGTCGGTTACCCTCCAAGGTCATTTCGACAGACATGCTCTGGTCACCTTCTCTGGGATGAAGTGCGTCCTCCACGCCAGATTTGGGATTAAGGGAAGGAAAGGGAGGACCAAGGGATTATCCGAAGGCTCCTGCACTGGCGGGCCCCCTGGCAGAGGAAGGCCCTCAGGCTGGGGATGAGCCTTCTGCATAGAGGGCTCCCAGGCCCTCTCCAGGACTGCAGAGCACAGGGCCTGCCCCTCTCCGCCCGGCAGCCGGCGAGAGCCTTGCTGGGGGCTGATGCTCCTGCTACTGGCTTCTCCGCAGGCCACACTGTTTGCCATCCTCTCCCCGACCCCAGAGACCTTTGCCACTCTGAAGCCCCATCAAGACTACACAAGGGGCAAAGACAACTCACCAAAAGGAAGCTAGGGCACCGTTAGAAAGTGCACATTGGGCAGCCCTCATCGTCCGTTCTCCCAAGTAACAGAGCAGAGCACTCTGGCAATGTAGTCCTGTCTTGGACTCCTCATGGGAGTGAGCAGGAAGGCAAATAACATGATTTTTTAAAAAGGTTTTTATTTATTTTTATTTATCTTTTAAATGTTTTATTTTGAGACGAAGTCTTGCTCCGTTACCCAGGCTGGAGTGCAGTGGCACGATCTTGGCTCACTGCAACCTCCACCTCCCAGCTTCAAGTGATTCTCCTGCCTCAGCCTCCCGAGTAGCTGGGACTACAGGCATGCACCACCACGCCCAGCTAATTTTCGTGTTTTTTTTTTTTTTT